GACCTAGTTGATGTCATCATTTACCCAGAATGCTTTGCGTGTAAATAAAATGGCCCTGTCCGTGTAATGTATTTTTAAACTTTTAGTTTAAAAATGATAAAAACTGAACATCCTACAGTATTTTTAGTCTTTATTTTACAGTTAAAGTATATGATTATCATATAAAGTCTAATGTTACAACTAATTGGGGATCCCTTTAAAATAAGCTGCTTTAAATCCAGCATTGACCATAAACTTCAATTCACATAATGCATGCTGCCCCAAACTATTGGAATGGAACCATTTAGCGTTTGGACTGCTGAGACTTTTAAATCTCTGCTTAAAACTCGTTCATCTTTATTTCTTTATGAAGATTATTTTGTTTATTATCTTGATTAAAAAAAATAAAATGTAATTTTTGAGGGAGGTCTTCTGAGACCAGGGTCAAACAAAGGTGGAAATGTTTACTCACCCTCGGAGTGACCCCTACACAACATTTTGTATTGTTTGTGTTGTTTTATTCATTTATTTAGCTGAATTGTGAAGCACTTTGGTCAACTCGTGTTTTTATATGCTATATAAATAAATTGACATTGACATTAAAAGTTGGAATATGTTTACAGAAAACAAGTAAATAAAGACCTTTGGTTGTTTCTCCACACTCTGTGCTCTATGACTGATAAGATCGTAATTATTGATAACTTATTGGACAGAACATCATTTCAAACATGATTATTAGGGTCGGTATCGTGGCCAATTCTCCAGATCAATTCGATTTCGATTCATAAGGTTCTGAATTGATGAATCACGACTCAATTCAATCTGCTGTTAAATAATGAAAATGGTTCAACTGTGTTGCAAAAACAATATCACTTTATTTTTTCTCTTCAACATAAACAATAGGTTTTAAGGACAAACTTGTAAATTAAACAGTTTAATCTTGAAGGAAAACTGTCACAAGTATAAAAGCTTTTAAAGTAAAAAGGAATTGCAGGTGACAGTATTGTTGGAGGAATTCATTTTTAAGAAATAAATAATTTTCTTGATAAATAAGAAGTGATGGAATAAGGCTGCAGGAGAAGAGGTGGGCTAATATAAGTATACTCTTGCCCACTCCTGTTGAGTGTATGAAACCTGTATATTTGTAATGTTTGTTAGCTTCAGTTATGTTCAATATAACTTATTAAAACAAATGATACAACATTTCATCACTGTGGATTTTATTAAGATGTTTCTTAAAGTTTAAAAACAATAATATTGGTAACAAAACTAAACGATATTGTTAGAATGTCGTCTTTAAGACATTTATACATGCCGGTGGAGAACAGTTTCAGTCAGATGTTTACATACAGTGCTTTGGTTCGAGCGCCTAACGAGCCGCTCGTCAAACCCTGCTTCGTATTTGCTACCTCGTAGGAGCACAAATCTTTGTTAACAAAAGTCACCATGGTCTCTGTTACCTTTGAGTTCTGCTGAGAATCAGTTGATAATGTGAGTGATTCTTAGTTCCTCGTTTTGCTCCTGACAACTTGTTGTCAGAACTAAACAGAAAGTCAACTGGATGTAAACATATGGCAAGCCAAGAGTGACAAAATATAGAAACGCCTTTCAGATGCGCACAAGACGCCCTGGGGAAGAATCGATCTCACGACCCGTGAATCGATTTTTCCAGATNTATATTTACTGAGAAAAATGGTGACWTGTTCAATACTTATTTTACCCGCTGTATATCAATAAGAATTTTTTTCTTCTTTTTGCTACCATTCATTTTATTTGTGTTGTATTATTATTTGTTATACATACAACATTTGTTTTGTTTTTAAATGAAATGAATTAAAAATAATTGATCCAAGATCGATTAAATGGATCTTTTTACCCAGCCCTAATGATTAGTCTATCCCCTAAACACCTACCCTGAAGAAGACCTTGGCCACAGGTTTCTTGAGCATCTTTGCCAGGCTCCAGAGGTTATCGTACAGCGCCGTGTCCACCATCCCAGGATCCACAGCGTTGACCGTCACAGGAAATCCTCCGGCCACCAGCTGCTCTTGAAGGTAGTAGGTAAAGAGGACGAGAGCAAGTTTGCTTTGGGCGTAAGCAGCGTGGGAACTGTAGCGTCTCCTGCAGAGCGGAGGAGACATGGTGGTCAGATTAAACTGTCCTTAGCAAGAAAGACAGTTTTTGTTTTTGGACTCATACCTCCTGTTTAAGTCCTCCATGTCTATCTCTCCTGCGTAATGTGTGGCAGAGGACATGTTGACGATCCTGGAGCAGCAGCTCTGCCGTCCTGACTTCTTCAGCACGTCCAGCAGCAGGTTGGTCAACAAGAAGTGACCGAGGTAGTTCAGGCAAAAGTGGAGCTCGAAACCATCCTCTGTTCTTCTCTCAGAAACCAGCATCGTTCCAGCTGCAGGAAAAGAGCTTTAAAACCAGACTGAAACATTTCAAGAATGCTGTAGCTGCAGCTGAATATAAACTACCCTTTCTGAAGTTTCTGACAAAAATACAAGTTTGGAAAGAGGACTAAAATGTAAAAAGTCCGATGAGTCAAGATTAGGTTTCTTCAGCAATGGCTTTTCAATAATTTAATTCAATTTCCCTTTGGGATCAATAAAGTATGTTTGAATTGAATTGAAACACTTTCAAATGTCTTCTTTAAACTGGACAGCTGATTAGTTCTTGTTGTGTTTCATGATAGAAATATTAAATCAATAAAGGAAATCTTGGGAATTGTACAAATAATGTTTGAAAGAAGATATAATTTGATTTTTATAATGAAAACTGACATTTTTCAGTATTATTGTTTCAGAAACAAAGACCAAAGATGAAAAACACAAACWAAAGCAACCTGGTTTTGGTAAAAACAAACCTGATCATAGAAAAAAGTTTCAAACATGATGGGGCCATGGTTTTAAGTTTCTCTACTGTCTAATTTTGGTCTTAAAATAATAATAAAAAAAAGTTATTTCTCTGTTCTACTAAATGTTGTCAATTATGGCACATGAACACTCCTACTTACATAAAATGTAGTTTATGTTTATTATATTTTCACTGAAATCGCCATTTTTTCCGAACACAATAATCTGGAGCTTACTTGCTCTGGAGGAAAGGCCACAATTATTTGTTTGGCCGCTAATGTTAGCTTTGTGGCTAATGCCATGTATTAGATCTAGAGAAACAGTCTTTATTAGCTCAGGATCTACATATGTTAGCACAGAAGCTAAAGTTACAGGATCTCTGGAGCTAACAGCTAGCCGGGGTCCAATTGTGGCACGCAGCGCCACCTTGAGGGCCTCAAAAGAACAACAGTTTTTAACTTTGGGCCTCGGGACCACATTGAGTTTGAATAAGGTGCAGTACACTTTCTCACCACTAGYAGCAGTAGTGCACCACTCAGATGTTTAACAACTTTTTTAATATGTAGAAGAAGAACCTTAGAAACCTGCTGAGAATGGAAACTTATTTTAAATGAAAAGTAGAAGCAAAAATGAAAGTAACTCGTCAAAAAACACCAAGGTTTGTTACTACTATGAAGTGCAGCTT